TAACAAATTAATATGTTAGGAATTGACAAGAAGTTTTACATTTGATAAAAATAGTATACTATAAAATAAGTGACAACACTAATGTCCAATATATTAGGACTTTTTTTTAAATTTCGRGGGGTATCAAGACATGGAGGACATCCCCCCAAAATACGCCACTGGGTATTATTGTATCTGTATCTATATCTATTGAATACTTTTGACGAATATCATTTACAAAACTGATTCAAAGCCAATGAGCCTCAACAACTAACAGTTTCGTCAACGGCCTTTTCGAGCGATGCACGGTGCACTACAATAACAAGTGTTCGACCATCACCAGTCGGGAAATCCAAACGGCCGCTCATTTTAAATTTATATTGTCCGGTGAATTGGCCAAGCACGCAGTCAGCGAAGGCACAAAGGCCAGATAAACTAGCTCAAATGAAAAATACGTTTATTCTATATAGGTAATYTATTTAGATAGGTTCACACTTAAAAATGGTCTTTTCAGAGACATCAAATATTTATTATGCAGTTTTGGTTAATCGCGTTAGTACAAAAAAATGAAAATAAATACCTACTTACATAATACTTATAGTATGATGTTGGTTACAAGTTTTTTTTGGTACCTACATAATTTTATAAAATAATACCTATAGGTATATACTAGGTTATGTAGTATACTACCCAGTTATTAAGTGCCTATATTATAGTTAGATACCTAAATATATTATTACGGCTGACAATGCTTTATATTTCCACCAYAGGTAACTTCTATACCTAATTATTATCCGATTCCTGCTAAGTATATTAAAATGTAAATGTTTAAATTAATGAAATAATATTTWAAAAAAATTTTAATTTGTCCTTGTGTAACAAAATATAATTACCCATGCAACATCTCTGATTTATTCACATGTTTTCCGGTATATTGTGTAGTTGTTTACTTATCAAAACGTAAAAAGTACCTATCTCATTACGTTAATAATCGAAAGCATGTAATTAAATAAAAAATGAAACTATAATAGGTATTTTGAAATAATACAGCTGTATTAGATCCATAATCAAAGAGACCATCGACGTACAATGTATAAATTAAGTTATAAGTTATAATAGAATCAACGATAAACAACAAAAATCACGATCACTTTGAAATTTAAGAAAAATATATATATATATAAATATAAAAATAACATAATATTTTGAATCGTTGTCAGTGTCGGTTRTCGTTAAGCTCTGACAAAAATAGACTTATCACTTTTTATGGTATATTATACAAATGTCTTTATCACAATGTTATTGTAATTTATTACATTTTTAGCTGTCCAACATAATATTATATTATATTTTTAATACCTTCAGCATCAATGAATTAAATAATCTTTTGAATATAAATTCAGTCATTAGTTCATTACTCATTATACGGTACCTACCTATAGTCTGTACTAAGGTTGGCATATGGATGAAAACAATGATATCAAGAACCAAAATGTTGATAAATACATTTTATAATTTTATCGTTGATAAGTTAATATTGGTTTTTTTTAAATAAGACACGAGCCGTATACAACTATGACAAGAACCGCAAGTTAGCCACTCCTAGTCTACACTTTATATGGTATTCCATTTATCACAATTTTATATCCATAAAATCGAAGGCCCTATTATTTCACAAGTGATGTGATTATATTCCCAATGCACCTTTTTCGCCTGCAGTGGTATAATATCTATTTATTAGGTTGTCCGTTGAAACAAAATTGTAGTCTGGAAGTGATCATTTAATCATTCTATGGATTTTATTGAAAAAAAAAAACGCATAGCCCCAACTACCTATTATAACACCAAAATCTTTTAATTACAATGACTAATATTTAAAAATAATAATAATTAAGAGGTACCAATTTACCTGAAGCAATTTTGGATTTATTCATTTAAAATCTATACAATATGAACTATGCATTATTTATATTGATTTGAAATAAAATTATTCTTATGCATACGTTTGTTAGGTATTCGTTGACAGTTTAGTTTAATAATAATTARTTGGAGGCCCTGAAAAGAGCCATTTTAAGAAAGATAGAATCGTTATGTTTATAGATTTAAGCACGTTCTCCACGGATACGGCGGGCCAATTGGATATCCTTGGGCATGATGGTCACACGTTTAGCATGAATGGCGCATAAGTTGGTGTCTTCAAAGAGACCAACCAAGTATGCTTCGCTGGCTTCCTGTAGGGCCATGACGGCGGAGCTCTGGAAACGTAAGTCGGTCTTAAAGTCTTGAGCGATCTCACGTACCAGGCGTTGGAATGGCAGTTTGCGGATCAACAGTTCAGTGCTCTTTTGGTATCGACGGATTTCACGGAGAGCAACGGTTCCCGGACGGTAACGATGTGGCTTCTTAACTCCACCGGTGGCAGGTGCGCTCTTACGTGCGGCTTTGGTGGCCAGCTGCTTCCTGGGCGCCTTTCCTCCAGTAGACTTGCGGGCAGTTTGATTTGTACGAGCCATATTGTCTATACTATATTATGTTGAAACGAAAAGGATTTTGAATACGTCTTATTTGTTGATGAGATCGACACACAATGATATCTGCAGAGTCGAACGTCCCTTACTTATATGGTTTTCTGAGGGCGAGCAGACGTTTCATTGGGCCAGAGGGGTGTGGCCTCGTGCACCCCTCGGTGAACGGTCTGTGGGATCGACGACATAAATACCACGTCACCAACCGATAAGTTATCATTCATCTCGTCTAGATCACAAGCACAATTTTCAGCAATAAGTCATCATGACCGGACGTGGCAAAGGAGGAAAAGGTTTGGGAAAAGGAGGTGCAAAACGGCATCGCAAAGTGCTCAGGGACAACATTCAAGGAAKTACTAAGCCTGCCATCCGTCGTTTGGCTCGGCGAGGAGGAGTGAAACGGATTTCCGGATTAATCTACGAAGAGACACGTGGAGTGTTGAAGGTTTTTCTTGAAAACGTGATCCGTGACGCAGTCACATACACCGAGCATTATTCAGAATTATTTTAGGTATTTAATTGATGAGTTATTTTTACTAAATGAAACCCGCGGTGTCCTGAAAGTGTTCCTGGAAAACGTGATCCGTGACGCAGTCACATACACCGAGCATTATTCAGAATTATTTTAGGTATTTAATTGATGAGTTATTTTTACTAAATGAAACCCGCGGTGTCCTGAAAGTGTTCCTGGAAAACGTGATCCGTGACGCCGTCACTTATACCGAACACGCAAAGAGGAAGACCGTCACAGCTATGGATGTCGTCTACGCTCTCAAACGTCAAGGCCGCACACTCTACGGATTTGGTGGATAAACCAACGATCGATTAATAATTTACTTCATTACAATTATTTAACTGTTTAAAAACAATTTTTTCATTAAAATGGTCCTTTTCAGGGCCAGTAAATCCAATAAAACCTATAATTTTGTATATTTTCCAGGCTATTAGGCTAATATAAAGTACATTGCATACCTACATAGAGCAGTTTCAATATTATTATTTAAATTTGAATCTCTCCAAATTTAACGCGTATTCGTAAAAATTTAAAAATACACAAAAATGTTATTCATTCATGATAGGTTCAATATATTTTTGCTTTAATAGTCCAAAACCCGAGGTACCCGAGATGGCATTTCTCGCCTACACATCATTATTCAATTAATCAATTAACTATTGGTTGAAATTTATTTATTTTTTAWTTGGATTGTTTAAACTTACATTAAATTGTTGAAAAAATTTGTTTGCAATACCTCTTTGTACGAATAAAAAGCGTTCAGTCGATTCTACGGATTTTTGGGGGTACAAATTAATTGAATGTAATTGAAAAATTTCCAGCGCATTTTTTTATTTTGAAAAACTGACTAAAGGCTAGATTCCCTAACATTTATGTGGTTTTATCTCCATTTAAATTCTTTAGCGAAAACTACACAGTGATTGCACAAAATGCCATTTATTTTAACAAATCTGGGTAAGTTAACCATGAATACCGATCTATTYAAAATAGATTTATTGTTCTATGATATTCAACTTCCGAATACTAGGTAACATTAACAAATTTTACAATATCAAGCATTCTAGGTAACAGAGTAAATCGTTTTCTCTTGATTTTGGTTTAGGGTTYAGTCCATAACACCCTCCCCTGAGTCAGCAGGGGCCCTGACTACGGCCTTGAATACAATACTAGTAGTTAATATCAGTAGTTATAATAATATATTGGAGCAATCAATATATCTATATAATAAGAAGATAACTAGCTTTATATGGGC